AGCTGGTAGTTTTAATGGAAAAATTAAATAAAATAAAATAAATAAATGATAAATGAATAAGTAAAAATAATAGATAAAAAAATGCATATAAAAATATTAATAATAATAAATAAAAGAATAATAATAATAAAAACGCCGCAGGTTATATTAGAAAAATACCTCACAATAGACCAGATATACTGCTCGTTCACAAAGAAACAAAAAAAGCCATCACTATCGAAGTTGGAGTTCCTGCTGATGATAACGTAGCTAAAACATTAAGTGAAAAAATGTCTAAAGTATCAAGAGCTTTGCGAGGAATTAAGGCAGTTATACCGGCTGCTGGAAGTAAAAGTACTACCCATTATCGTACCCAGCAGTGGCCTGATTCCTGAAGATACACTGAAATCAATTAAGCTACTTGGATTAAGCTGGGAACTTGAGGAAATCCAGAAAGCGGTAATGCTGGGAACCGCCAGCATTGTTCGAATTTTTTTAAATATTTCAAATTAAATAGGTAATAAACTGTACCCTTGACCTAGGTCCAGGTCAGTGGATTTATCCGGCAAAAAGAGGAGGATTGAAAAAAAAAAAAAAAATAAGGGGGGAAAAGGATATATAGGAATACAAATTAAATAAGAGAAAAAGATAAATAGAAATTATTATTATATCTCTTTCATTAAATTTATCCTTGTTAGAAATATTATTTTGTCAGTTCTATTGCTGCCGTTTCCTTAGGCTAGTGATATATTTTGTGATATTTCGAAGTCATTCAATTTACGAATATAAAACGGACAATCTTGGAAAATGTGAGTTATGGACTGTACACTATTACAATACTGGCATCTAATCTAGGTGGAGCAACTTTAGCGATGAGGTGGAGGTGGGTCAATCTTTACGTGGAGGACGACTTCCTCTCTGCGAATTTTGCTACTAGAAGAACTCCAAGGCCTGACATCTTTCTTTATTAGTTTCAGTTTGCTTGGATCACTCTTATCCCATCCTTAACGGCCTTTCAGAAGCAATAGAATTTCATGAATAAGGTATCAAACTAAAAATTATTTCGGGTAGAAGTGAATAATTTCAATTACAATACGTTGATTGGTTGCTTTGAAGTTATAGGCACAAAACATTTCCACAAACATACGTCTTACTTTTCCTTTTGGATACTCTCTTTCAGCGGCCGTGAGACATCTGATGGTGTCAGCAGGGTCCTTCTTTTGCTGCTTTATCGGTCATTTAATTGCCTTTTATAACAGCATGTCCAAGTACCCATATGTACTCGTAGTTAACTGATTTCCCGCTATCAGCCATAAATGTTCCTGTTTCAAGTATTCGTTGAATTCCTGGATGATTGGAATATATGTTTGCTAAACTGTTTAGAGCACTTAAGGAATCTGAAGCAATTACTATAGTTTTCAATTAATTTCAAACCGTAATACGTTACTATCACTACACTAAACGTCATTGAAAAAAAATGTTGTTTTAAAACTGAAATGCTTTCAAAGTTTACTAATCGAGTTGTTTTAAACTGTATTAAATATTTCGACACGGGCATCAAGATGGTATAGTTCCGAAGGAACTATCGGGCCCTCAGTTTAATTTTGTGTGTTGAATAAATTATCTTGATAATTAATATAGATTAATACAGTAGCAAACTCACCAGAGACAGAACACATTACCCCGTGGTACAAATTACACCTTTTTATCAAATTATTAACATCCGCCTGAAATTTATTAATTAGCTTCATCTCATCGTAACCTAAAAATATTTTATTTACGAAAATTCTCAAAATTGGGACGTTTTCAATCAGAAGATCGGCAAACTTTGTCTATTTAATTAAAAAATAAATAAATAAAAAGAGAAGAACCTGAACCAGTACAATCCAAGAAGGATCTTGGGTTCAGTACTGTTACAAGGACAACGGTTGTGCAGGGAGGGGATTTGACCGAGATCATGCTCCCCCGCTAGGTTTCTCCCCTTAATCAATTATTTAAGTAAGTGTACCCACTGGGTGTGCCCCAGGAGGATCTCCATACCCCAGGGTCACCTCACGGCCAATGAAACAGAATAAATAATTTTTCTGTCATAAGCCGAGATTCGTACCTGAGACGTTGAGCATTGAAAGCTTAGTACCCTACCACTGAGTTACCCCGCTCCCTATTTAATTAGGTAGTAAAAACTCGTAAATACTCATTTGCTTCCCTCTTAAATCGTAAGATAATTTGATAAAAAAATCGAGGAAAAAACATCTTTTTTCATAGGCCATCGCCTACAAAAATATTGGACCGCTTGGGATGAACTCCACCCCCAACATGTCAAAATATCGAGGTTGTTTAGGTCAAACGGCCCCTATATTTTTGTAGGCCACCTTTTTTCCTCGATTTTTTTATCAAATTATCTTACGATTTAAGAGGGAAGCAAATGAGTATTTACGAGTTTTTACTACCTAATTAAATAGATAAAGTTTGACGATCTCCAGATTGGAAACTGAGAATTTTCATAAATAAAATAATTTTAGGTTACGAAGAGATGATTCTCGAAGTTTCAGGAGGATGTTATTTATATGATAAATATAATGTCGAAATTGGGGTTAGGCATTCTGTCAACCGAAAGGCTCATATATGCCTAGAGAGATTTGAAAGTATATCTGAATATTTAACCTATAAATGATTATGAATTTATTTATTTGGTATTTTGTTGCCTCTACCCTGTAAGGTCATTGGCAACGCCTTTAAATTACACTCTGTTGCAGAGTTTTATCACTTTCATTGACGATTTCGTCAGGGTCAGTTATAATGTCTTGTCCACTCTTTATACCAGGCAATTTCTTTGTTTTGGAGATCCCCTTAATGCTTTTCACTTTATTCCAGAGCTCCTTCATTGAAATACTTTGATTTAATGAAGATACGAAGTCTTCCCATGACGATCTTTTGCTTTTCGGTATATATCATAATCTTTGTATCTCACTGCTTGAGTTTCTTGTAAGTGTGTTTCTTGGAGACAAACTAGAATAGGGTTCTCTTCGTCGGAAAAATCTGTTACAATTCCATTGAATGATTGTTTTCGTGAATGATTATGAATTGTTGGACTATTAGTTATTAAACTGTTATTTTCCATTGCACTAGCGGATCCAGGATTTAATTTTGGGGGAGGCTTCAGCCCGAAAGCGATTTTTTTCATAAAAATAACGATAATTACTTTGGAAAAGATGAAAGAAACTAACTACCTGTATGAAATGGTGTTTAAGTGATTCCTAAAGCCCCTTTAAATGTAATTACACAAACAATAATACTTTAAGAGATACTTTTTTAATATTTTTTTTCGATAAAACATGGCTATATTTTACCATTTTGGGGGGGGACTTCAGCCCGAAAGCCCTCCCCCGTAGATCCGCCCGTGTTCCATTGTAAAGCTTAATAAAACGTACACAATAATGTTGGTATTTCACAAAAGGAAAATTCATCAAATTATCCACTAACTCAAATTTCTAAAAGGTTACTTGATGATTTTTTGTAATAAACGGCCGACAGATACCTAATTATTTAAATATTATATCAGATCTAGAGTTATTAAACGACAGTAATTGTATTTGAGTTTATAAACTGTAAATTGTAAGTTTAGAAAATTGTAAAAATATGTTTCACCGTATATATAAAGTGGCACTTCCGCTTAACCTATTTTAAAGGAAAGTAGTTGCTGCCACATCTAAGGCATATACATATCTTAAATAAGGAATATCAGTTTCGTAATACTTCTGGATTTTGAGCTAGACTGCTCGCTCACATACACACAGACCATTTTGCGGTACTTGGTTATTTGGACTCAAGGTAGCTCAAATCGTGTATTTCCTTTGAAAACAAAGATTCGAAAATTTTCACGATTGCAACACTTGCCCTTACTTCATATTAGATAAAACTAAATACGACAACGTTAATGAAAGCCGGTAAAGAACTAGGACTCGAAATAAACGTGGATAAAACAAAATATATGGTTAGCTGCAAAAATGGCGATACTACTGGTGATATCGATATAGATGGTAATATGTTCGAACAGGTAGAGAAATTTAGGTATCTAGGTTCTACGATAACTAGAAAAAACGTAATTGAAGAAGAGATTAAGGTTAGACTGAAGGCGGGAAATGCTTGTTATTTTTCTGTGACAAAACTTAGTTCGCGCCTCTTGTCCCCGAACTTAAAAATTAGAATCCAGGTAATTTCATCGCGGCGAATCAAATGTGCTTGTAAAGTTGTTGGGCTTAGTAACGAGAGAATTCCTGAAAGGTTAATATTTACTGTGCCGAATGGTAAGCGTCCGAGGGGTAGACCGAAGCGAAGATGGGAAGATAGCATTAAAGCCGATCTGAAGGGACTGGGTTTGGACGGCGAACGGTGGAGGAATGTGTGTAATAAGCGATTGGTGGTGTCGGCATCGAATCTTCGGGTTCGCTAAGCCTTTTATTATTATTATTATTTATTTCATATTAGATATATAGGTAAGTGAAAGTATAAAGGGGTCTGTACCACGGACTACAAATGCTAGATTAAATTTGAAAAAAAATTCAAACTACGCAATTTCAAACCTTATTTCTTTAAAATGTATGTAAAGAAAAAAAAAGCAGTCAACGTTTCGCCAATGTTCTGATGATGCCTGAATTGACGAAACGTTGACGTTTTTTTTGTTTGCCTGCATTATGCTGACGTAAGGCTATGTTGTATGAATTTTTCCAATTAAAACTTAACATTGAAGTTTTGTCTCTTGGTGGGTTTGTTACTGATTTATATTAATGTTATTTTTTAATTATTCAATCCCTGATAAAAAACACATTAAATCTTATAAACTTGAGAGCCATAATGAAATAAATTGATCTCAAACAGATGACAATCTATAGAGATATACTGGCTGGTAGCTTGAAGGTAAAAACGAGAAAACAATCCTGAAATTAATGACCAACTGACAGGTGAAGGCAGTGTTGGGGGGGGAGCACCTTTGACTTTCAACCCTCCCCTCCCTAAACCGTATGAGCCAACTCGTCTTATCTCTCTTCCTCCTCATTTCTTCAAAATGGCCGCCTCTCCTCTTTCTCATAAATCCTACCGGTTTTTATTCTTACCGACCTCTTTGCCAAAGATCGTCTCATTTCTTTATCCCCTCCTGATATCCTTTTCTTTTGTGGCGAACTTTAATTCTAATCTATTCATCTAGATATTCACCTTAGCTGGAATAACATCAACATTAAACAAATCTACGCAAGGTTGGCAATGTTATATCCCTTCAATTGGAAATCCAATATTCAAGACATTACTGATGCCATGTGAAATGTAAGGTGCAGAATCATTTTCTAAGCAATAAAAACTACTAACTTTTCAAAATAAGATCGTGAGAACTGCAGTAGATGCTCTCGGCTTCTTAGAAATTGTGAACTACGCCAACAACTTCTACGGAGTGTCTTTCGGGCTGAAGCCCCCCTCCCTCCAAAATGGTAAATTATAACCATGTTTTATGGGGAAAAATATTTTAAAAATAACTCTTAAAGTATTATTGTTCATGCAATTACATTTAAAAGGACTTAAGGAATCACTTAAACACCATTTCATATAAGTAGTTAGTTTCTTTCTGTTTTTCCAAAGTAATTATCGTTGTTTTTATGGAAAAAAAAAAGTTACGGGTTGAAGTCCACCCTCAAAATTAAATCCTGGATCCGCTAGTGAATAGATGAATGTCTTAAAAGCGTTTTTACTAAATTTTAATCCCAGTTACCCATTAGCGGATTCAGGATTTAATTTTTTGGGGGAGAGAGGGGGCTTCAGCCTGCATGAATTCTTTTCATATGTATAACGATAATTAATTTGAAAAAAAAATAAACTACCTATATGACATGGTGTTTAAGTGAATCTTGAAGTCCTATTAAATGTAATTAAACGAACAATAATACTTTAAGAGATAGTTTTATTATTTTTTTTCTATAAAACATGGTTATATTTCACCATTTTGGGGGGGCTTCAGCCCGAAAGCACTCCCCTAATCCCATAGATCCGCCAGTGCAGTTACGTGTAGTTACAGTAGCTCTCAGCAGAAGAGTTCCAATATTATCTACCCTGAGACTTAGGCTTATGCAAGACATTCTATTGTGAATATGTGTATATTTGTTTATTTATTTGCTGTATATTATTTATTTATCTTAATTTATTTTTCATTACACTTCTTTTCCTTACTTTTATGTATTTAAAAGACAAAAGCTCATCCGAAGATATGGCCACCACTGAATAGAAAATCTTAACTTTCTATTGACAACAAACTACTGATCTACAAGAAAATCCTGAAACCTATTTGAACTGCGGAGGGCAGTAAAATATTCTATTGAATATTTAATAGTTGACCGTTGCATTATAAAGGAAGGAGATGGTCCGGGGTGGCGGTCATAAATAGACTAAATAGTGGCAAAACTATTTTATTAAAAGCCGACGTTTCGACCCGACTTTGCAGGTCTTCTTCAGGGAGGTGTGTTCAGCTAGGAGTTTCACTTAGAACTGATTCAGTTCTAAGTGAAACTCCTAGCTGAACACACCTCCCTGAAGAAGACCTGCATAGTCGGTTCGAAACGTTGGCTTTTAATAAAATAGTTTTGCCACTATTTAGTCTAGTTATGACCGCCACCCCGGGCCATCTCCTTCCTGTAAAATATTCTAACATCAACTGCATCCAATCCTTTCAGTCCAAAGTTCTTCGAACAATAGTCTATGCTCCGTTATATGTAAATAACAAAACCCAATACCATGACCTTAATATCCCATTGTACATAGAGTGTGGATGTGATCTCAGAACACTATTATAAATGTCCTTGAGACAGATTATAATATTTTTCAATAAATAAAAAAATATAGCCCATTTGTTCTAGATCTCATCACAGAAAATTTTTCCAAATTTCATCAGAACCTTACTTATCATCCAAATTCTTCACATATTATTCATTCATCATTGTTAAACCTAACCCCAACATTTCCATAACAGTTATAATATCTTATAAAAATCTTATTTATGTTGTTTCAGGTTATGGAAACCGAGCTCCACAAACTAATGAGGGGAAAGTGGCGGTAATCCTCTACGGATTCCTGGGTTGTTCTGGAGGAATATTGTTCTTCAACCTGTTCCTGGAGAGGATCATCAGCCTCCTGGCCTACATCCTGGGCTACCTCCACCTGAGGAAGCTGGAAAAGGAAGGCAGAGATCTTCGGGATGAAGACCCTCTGGAAGATTGGAAACCGAACGTGTATTTGGTCTTCCTGTGCCTTGTCGTGGCGTCTCTCATAATCGGCATCTCGGCTTCAGTCACTTTCTCATTCCTGGAAGGCTGGAGCTTCCTGGAGTCTATATATTTCTGTTTCGTGTCGTTTTCTACCATCGGCTTTGGAGATTACGTCACAACTCAACAGGTGGCCTATCCCAATCTGTCGCTCTACAGGTTTGTCAACTTCGTCTTCATCGCAATGGGGTGTTGTTGCATTTATTCTCTCTTTAATGTGACATCCATCGTCATCAAGGAGGGCCTCAACTGGATTCTGATAAGACTCGACTGCCACGGCTGTGGGAGAGCGTCAGACAAAGCTACCAGGATGCTCCGAAGGCATTCGTTGAAAATCCAGCAGAGGGCGAGGAGAAGATCGAGTTTTTCACTGCCCAAGAATTTCAGGAAGCGTTCGGATTCTGGAGTAAGCAATACGGATTCCAACGGTAGGCGCTTGTCTGGAGAAATATCCATGAAGGAACTGCTCTATGGCAACAAGGTGTCCCTCGCTGTGATGCAGAAGCAGCTATACGAAGCGGCCATGATGCAGAAAGGATACTATACTCAGGAGGAGGAGAAAGACAGGTTCTCTCCAGGAATGGTAGGACCCCTGGCCATCATCTCGAACAAGCTGGAGAAGTAAGAAAGGTGTCTCCAAACCTTTGTTAATCGTCTATGGCCGTCATTCGGTCGGTCTTCAACGGTTGTCCACGAGTCGCTCATTGGCGCCAATCTGGAAGTTCGATCCTCTGTCGTTGAGATTAAGTAGATGTAGATGTAAAAGCTGTCTTAACTTTTTATGTAACAATATTTCATTCATGTTCAGGAATGTTTCATTCTTTGATGTAACAATATGTCATTCATGTTCAAGAATGTTCCATTCTTTGATGTAACAATATTTCATTCATGTTCAAGAATGTTTCATTCTTTAATGTAAAAATATTTCATTCAATGGCCTTTGATGAAAGGTTGAGGAACTAGTTTCTTTTCGCTACTCAAAGATGGTGCTAGGTTTCAACATCACCCAGAGCCCACTACTCCTAGGTTCCCGAAAATACCCGAATGTGTCCAAAACAAGTCGGATCCTACTAATCCCCAACTCTTGTTTGAAAATTTCATGTCAGGGAAATATTTACTCAGTTATAATAGTAGATAATAATTGTTAAAATATTCAAATAAACATATTTTTTTAGAATTCTGATCTGATAGTTATTCTCTTCTACCTGCCACCATCTTGGAGAATCCAAAGTGAACTAGTACTGAGCCATTTATTTTATTTATTTATTTTTTAATAATAATAAATAAAGTTTTAAAAATATATAAATTAGTTAAATTAAGGGAACAGAGATACAGAGTATTATTTAAAGGTATTTTTTACATTTCATGAACTATGGGAAACACAAATGTCTAAATCGGTTGTTTCTTTAAGTGTTTTTGTTTCTTGTTTGTGTTTTATCCGTGGACATTGAGCCATTTTCAAGTCTTAAATGTTTCAAATCCCTTAATTTCTTAAGTAAAATAATTAAGATTTGAATACATAATTTGAGAGCCGATACAGAAAACTATTAATATAAGAACAAGGAAAATATGATAACAAAAAATTTATATGATGACACTTCTTTTACATAAGAACCAATGATTTTTAAACATGATAAACTAATAAATGGCTCAATGGGCTGAAACGTAGTCATTCCAATAAAAAATTTAAAATAAAAACAATTTTGGTGTACTAATGGCTTCTTGAATTAACAATGGAAATAATATATACTGCAAGAAAAGAAAATTATACCAAAAGTAGAAAAAAAAATTTTTTTTTTTCATTGTTCCATATGCTTTATCCATATGCTGATATCAATTTCACATCTGTTATTGTGTATGCATGCATAACTTGTGCAATATACAATACTAAAAAATACAAAACCCAAGTCTGAACCTGTTCTCTTAATTCTTATCTTCGAATTTTATTCAATTTCACATAATTAATATTGATCAGTTGTTACAAAGAAATCAGAGCCAATTTATAAGTATTATATATTACAAATTTATGTTGTTTTTTGTCAAATCGAATAAAAAACATAATGAAAATATGTCATAAATTTTAATATTAAGAATTACATAAATAAGAAATTTATGTACTATATAATTCTCAATTCCATCTCATTAAATATTCAACTTGATTGATGTCAATAATTCATACATTTTAATTTTATTGAATTTTACTGGAATTGAAAATTCATAAAAAATACAATTCACTTTTTTGTTTTTGTTTTTTTATGGTTTTACTAAATAAAAATTTACTTTCAATATTCATACATTTAATTGAAATATTGTCTCATTCTTCAGAATGTATTATGAAATGTCAGTTTTTGGACAAAATAGAATCAATATTATTAATAGAAATGTATAAAATGAGAAATGTAATATGATTTAATATCTCTAAATAAAAATAATTTATTTATTTTAGCATCGCTTATCGACATTAAAACTAATATAAATTCAGCTAAAAGTATTTATATTTAAAAAATCAAATATACTTCTGTTATCATGTACTATTAGCGAACCACATCCAAGTCATATATGAGCTTTGTTTTATATTTTTTCCATTTTCTCTGCAGATTTATAGAGTTTTATCTGCCTAAACCAGGCTTCTCCACCTGTATTTGTTTTCTTTTTTGTTTTGTTTACTGCCGACCTCATCGTTTCGGACGTACAGAAGAGAGATTCTTGAGATACAACCAAACCAATTGCTAAAGCAGAAGTGCTTTAATGTGGTCAGACATTACAGCCTCTCCAACTTTGTCTATCTTCGTCTACTGTTTTCTAGTTTGCTTCAAGCAGCTCAGTAGTATCTTTGTTGATTTCATTTTTTAATTTGTTTTTGGCCTCAACTGGTCTGCAAAGGAAGGTTCTTAAGGTAGTGAAGGTATATACCTACTTAGGTACTATAATTAGTAACTCTGGTAAGATAGATGCTGAGATTTTGAACAGAATATCCAAAGCATCTATATAAGTCTGTCTATTCTCACCTATGGCGGAGAAAGACAGACATTACAGTTGCATAACAGAAGCAGAAATGAGGTTCCTAAATAGATTGATGGGGAAAATCAGAAGGGATCGTATTAGAAATAAAAGTATAAGAGAGCTGCTGGAAGTACCTGAGCTCAAAACCACTTTGGAGGATAAACAACTGAAATGGTTTGGACATGTCTGCTGCATGAACAGTGACATGGACCCTATAAAAGTATTAGATGTTCGAATCACTAGAAAGAGACCATGGATTGGAAGTAGAAGAGGAAAATCCCTCAATCAAATAAAGCGGTTAAGCAAACACCGGGAGGAGTGGCTGCGCTAAACAAAGGCTTCTCAGTGCTAGAAATGGTAGGTGAGAAAGATAAAGAAGAAGTTGATGATTTCTTGCCAAATATTATGGCATTCATTGTTGTAAAGAGGCTTCTTCATGGATTGCTCTAAGGGATGACAGAAATATTGTTATTAATGTAAAAAACAACCCTTTTCATAGTACTCCACTGAGCCTAAATGAGGTCTTGAATGTTTTACCATGGCCAATACCAATACAAATCAATTGTGATCATTTGTGGGAAGTTGGTCTAACAGCTTAGTGTCCCTTTAAGAAGACCTGCAGCAACAGTGCATCGCGAGCAACTCTGCAGATGCAGTGTAGAGAGCACTTAGATGAGGATACAGATTGAAATGCTATTATGTTTACAGACAAGTCACGGTTCTGTATTTATAGCAGAAGTAGGCGCCAAAGAGTTCCGAGAACAGGGGATGTGTATACTACCACAGTTTGTTTTTCCTTCAATGCAGTCTAGAAGTGGAATCTACTCAGGAGGACAGACTCTATTTCATACTGCAGAAAGTAATCTCATTCCAGTTCGTTGTGTTCGGGAAATTATTGAGGAGAACATTCCCCGAATGTAGACCATAATTAGCACAAATTTCAGACAATATCCTTATAGGGGAAAAGTTTTTCATCAATGTCATGAAAATCTGGCTATTTCACAACTGCTCCTTACCGTATTTTTTTCATATTTCAATACCATTGAGCACATGTGGAATGCACTACAAAAGAATGCTTTTTGACCACCATTTACAGCTTCTTAATCTCCAGCAACTGAGAGCAGTATTACCATTTTTATGGTATATATCCTTTCCTTGTGAAATCAATGACTACATTATAAACAGTATGCTCAATAGGTGCAGAGAGGTAGTGCTTAACGGACGATATTACACAAATTATTACTTTTTACAGAATGTTTACAATTTGCAATCATAAAGACAAGACCACATAAATCTTTAATTTTACAAAAAAAAAAGTTAAAACACCATTTATAAAATTTCCTGAGTCCAAATATAATCTTATTTAAATTAATTTTCAATGTACTTTACAATAAAAATTGCAAGGAAAATAAATCATACATTTTCAACAATATTGCTATTCGTTTTTAAGCAGTATAGTTCAATTATAAATCCAAAAACTGACAAGCTGTGTGATGCAACAGAATGATAGTAAACTATTGTATTTATTATTTATGTTTAAATATTTATTATAAAATAAGTAGTTTTAATCTTTTTTTTGTACATATATTGATTTTTCACCATCAATCTATACCATTAAAATATATTATTAAAAATAGCAATAGACATAAGTATTAATGTTCTAAAATATATATTTATTAAATCTAGTAAATGTGCAAGTAAAAGTATATTACATTTCTACTAATAAAAGATATTTTTAAAATATGTGAATACATTATGAGTGCAAAATAAATTCAAATGCGGGCTGTGAGAATAGTAGTATTTTTGTTCTCTTTTGTTAAGTGAGTTCTGTTTACTAATTTAATGTAATTTTTTGATATTATACAGATGTTTAAAATTTATTTTTCTAGATATTATAGTGTACAAATAATAAAAATACCAGTAATTTTCCTAAATTGTTATCAATGTTATGTCACATTGCATTTGTTTTCTGTTCACCCTCTTTGTATATTTTATGACAAATTTATTTTGTATGTAACTACTTCAAGGTTATATGGTTGAAAATAATCAAAGATTGAATAAGTAAAATTATGATTAACATTATTTAACTAAATCTCAAATTTTATGTATTATTTTGGTAGTTTTTCAATGCTTTCATCTGTTGTTAAGAATTTGTTTAATTATTTAACATGTTCTTCACTCCCTGGCATTATGCAAGTTTAAATTTACATTAAAAAGATTTCAAATGTTATTATTTTATGTGAAAATGAGGTTAGAAAATATTGTAATAGTAATGATGCATGGCAAATAGAATATCTGAAATATCTTGTCATATAAAAATTTTTCTTTTTTTTTTTTTTCCTAGTTTAAAGAACAACACATTGTATATTTCAACAGATATTTTAACTTATTTCATAAACAATAAATAGGCAAAATTTTTGTAAATAATAATGTAACATTGATTTTGTTCCCTCACAACTAATTGTGTATTAAATGTACCCACAATTGGCAAGAAGCCTGTTGTAGTATATATGGAGAATGTATGTGTACAGTCTCTAAAACGAAATAAATTATTTCACTTAGTACTTAGACTATTTTTTATTTCATAAGCATTGCATTATAGACGTTGCTTGCACACTCTTTCTTAAACTTCTTAGAGACATCAGGACGTATGGATTTGAAATAAATCATTAATATTTATTTAGATCATAGATATTAAAATGGATCATTTATTTAAGATGGGATAAAGTAAAGGTTAACAACAAAAAATCTTAAGTGACATTTATTAAAAGGAATCATATTCAAATTTTTGAAGTGAATTCTTTATTGTGTTGTGCACTTTATTTGTGGATAGTGAATTAGATTGAGCCATCAGATCTCTGGTGTATAACGCTCAGGTCGACTAATTAAAGTGATTTTGCTTATGGATTAAAATATCTCAAAGATTAAAAATCAGAACTGCATATTTAAATTGCATATTGTTCGCATGGACAATGTTCATCATTTCATTCTTTTTGTAATGAGATATTCAAAAATGTATCTTAACATAACATCGTGTTAGAGAGGCGAAAAGGGGAAAAGTTGTGTATAAAACCAAATGATAACGATTTTTATTGAAGATATGGATTAAAATATCTCAGAAACTAAAAATGGCACTTGCATACTGTGAGCGGGAGTATTGTTCAAAATTCCATCTTCTTTATAATGGGCTATTATTTATGATTTATTTTTTATATTATTAATCTCGCCTTGTGGATGTTTTCGCTTCTGTTTTCTATGTGTGCTTTAGATCACACACCCAATTTTTTTTTAATTTGATTTATGTTGATTACAAAAATAGAGAAACAAATATAAAAAATATTTTTGCTACATATATTACAATTGGAAAAACAAATAAATAAAAACACTTTGAGTCTTGACACCTTTATTAAATTTATTTATTGCATTTTTTATGTTTATTCTCTGATTGAACCGAGACCAGGCAAACGGAAACGTTGGACACCACTGACACAAATGCACCTGAGAGTCAAATACTTCAGCTCATATTTTGACCAAATAATATACTCCTAGTCCTCTGCCAGCACAATAATGCAAAGAAGCAAAGAAAATTTAT